AATTGTTATACCCTCATTTGAAGAAGAAAAAGAAAGTTACTTAACAATGATAGTGTGGAGTTATTTAAAAAAAAATACAGTTTCCTTATCCAAAGAAAGTTTTTACCAAAAATCAAATATGTTTTTAAATAGTTTCTTAAAAAAATCAATTTTATATAAAATTTTAAAGAAAAAATTTATTTTCATTATGATAAAGAAAGAGACTGAAAGTGGAAATAATGAAGGGGTAGGAGAGTATTTAAATCCCTTTCACTGTTTTCTGGGTTCGTTCCCCAGTGAAGTCGCCATTTTCTGTTGCGGTTAGAATAGGATATCAAACTATTAATTAGTTTGAATCACATTTTTAGTTCACAACCGATCTTTGATTTATCCGAAGGAAAAAGTCAAAAGAAGGAAAACCTAATTTTGCATCATAAACACAATGCGGAGAGAGATCTAGGTAAGGGGTTGGTTAAGCTTAGGGAAGGTATTAGCACCTAAACTTCTGTAGTACTCTACAAGAACCTTTTGTTTAAATTTACTATTTTGCTTGATTATTTGCTTGAGGGTATATTGCTAAGGGTTAAGAGTGACAGAGAGACCTAAGGGTTAGTCCTAAGTTTACTCGGCAAGATTCGTATCTCGTGCCTATGTATCCTGGGTAGGGAATGGAATCAGAGTAATCGTAGTTTTCCCTCGAAAGGGAGGTTAGAAACTTCTTGACTATGGTCAAGGTTTCAATGGGGAATAAGCGTTTCTTAAGGAAATGCTTACGTGGAGTGTGGCGACTCCTATTTCTACGTTGAAAATAGTTGAATTGAATTGAAAAGGGTTAAAATAGGTATTCCACAGCGGGAAACCTAAAACGGAGTGCGGCGACTCCTTAACCTAATGCTAGGGTAAAGGGTGATTTAGTCCACAGCGGGACACCTAAGCGATTAAGGTTTGAAAAAGTCAAAGGTGGTGGTTATTGACGCGGCGGTCAAACGGCTAGACCTATTCCTTCGGAGGGTTTAATAGTACAAATGATGAATTATTACATGGCAAGATTAAAACAGATGCAAATATGAAAACAGTAAGAAAAGTGTGATGCGACGATCACTCACGTAAATTACAACTATAAAAGAAGACGAAAATAAAGTAACGATAGTCTCGCATGGTTACAACCATAAAAAATGAAAATACTGTCAACTGTGAAATTAGTAACCAATTGAGAAATGTTAGAAACTTAAAAAATAAATAGAATTGAAAAAGAGTTAAGTTTTAATTATAAAAAAGTTTTAATGTTATTTATAAAAATAGAGTTTTATTTACTGCCTAAAAAAATTGATTAGAGAATTTTACTTATCTAATTAACAAAAGTTATTTTTAAGCTAATTAACAAATTATATTAACTAGTTAACAGAAGTTATATTAATTAGTTAAAAAAATTCTATTGACTAGTTAAACAAATTATATTAACTAGTTAAAAAATATGTTAATTAACTAATTAAATTAAACGATATATTAATTAAAGTAATGTAATATAATCCTAAGGTAACTAATAAAACACAAAGCAGATACAACATTTTAAGGAGAGAGGCCGTGAGTTTGTCACTGCATTGTTTCTAGGTTTTCACTAAAAACTCTTATCTTCTTCCTTGAGTTTATCGCAGCAGCCATTGTTGACCCATGTTGGAGCTTCTTCCAATTTTCTTCTTTCCGTCTTATCTTTTCCCCATCCGTTTGTGATATCTACAAAAATGGAAAAATAAAAAATCTGTTATGTGATTGCTCACCTTCAATGAAGGTTTGAAGCGGCTGGAAGGGCAAGAGATTTGCATGCACAGCGACGGTCCGTTCTCGCGGTTAGTCATGAGCCAATGATGAAGGATGTTGAGGCCATGGGTGGTCCGTGACTTCTCCGATGGTGACGGTTTGCCTTCTGAGTTCTGGTTTTTTCGAAATAAACTCCTCTTCTTCTTTCGCTTATTGATGAGGATGATGATGAAGCTTTTGCTTCTGAATCTCGTTGGATCCTTTTGTGATTAGCTTGATGAGAAACCACCCTCGGGTCGTGATGATGAATCCTTCCCGTTCTTCTGAATCTGTCCTCCCCTTCTTTCTAATGTATGGGTTTTTTCTTTATATTGTTCCTTGAGAATTTGCCGGAGACTTTGATGGCTTGATTTACGGAACAAATGTTGTTATTTGTTTGATTTTTCACGGGTTTATTGATTTGGTTTGCTTTGAGACTTTTCAGGTTTTGCGAATTCACTTTCTCGGAACCCTTATGAAGCCTACGGCGGATTTGTTGGAATCTGTGTGACTGTTAATTTGTTTGTTTGCGTTTGATCCACTTGGACTCCGTAAATTTTTGGGAAAAGTGTTTGTGACTCGTTTGGCCAAAATCATTTTTTCAAAAGTGCTTATTCTCAAAATCACTTTTCTTTGAAAACACTTTTTATCTCTCTCTCCTGGTTGCCTAGAACAGAATCTGCCTGATTTACCAAGGTCGAGAAAAATAAGTCGGGAGCTGACTTCGACTTCGTCGTTGCCCTCCCGACGTACCCGATGATGACATTAAGCTGAGGGTATCAGAACCAGTAAACCACTTTTAACTAACTTTAATATTTTCATTGTTCGTTGATTTTCTTACAGGTTCGGAGGAATAAAATCGAAACGCGAAGAAATCGGAAGTGGAGGACAGTTTAGGAATTTTAGAATTTTTTAGAAAAAGAAAATGTAATTTAACTTTGTCAATTCTTTTGAATATTGTAACAAAATAATTAATATAAATAAAACTTTAATTTTATTATTTGGATATTATAGTGACTTTGTAAATTTATCCCTTTTTTGTATTATAATGAAATTAATTTATTTGTTCATTTGTTGATACCATATTGAAATAAAGCATAAATTTTAATATTTGATATTATATTTAACAAAAGCACAAATAAAATTAATTTCATTATTTGAGATATGACAACCAAAATAACAAAACAACAATTCTATCTTTTATTAATTCGAAAATCTCAATCCAATCCTTCCGATTAAATCTCATCTCCGACAAACTCTCCGAATAACCCTTCAGGTAACTTGAACGAATAACCTATTATGAATAAATCCCACTTGTTCAGTTAACCGCACATGACTAAAATCTTCCCATTTTAACTTCATCCGAAGCAATTCTTTCGATTAAACTCCAATGAATAAACTCAACCGACTACATTTATTAGGTTAAATTCTAACAGATAAACCATCTGACCAAATTCAAACCACCTAAATCCAATTAATCTCAGTTATCTGATTAAACTCAAACGAATAAATTCCGTTAAAATTTATCCGACTAAATTTATTGGATTAATTCACCTGACACTCCCTCAGTTTAAGCTCAAACACATAAATCCAAATAAACTGAATTAACTTGATTAAACTCCCTTAACGAGATTTAATCGATTAAACCGAGACATACGACCATGACCAGATAAACAGAGAAATTCTGCAAAACTCATTCTCACACCGTTTAAACCTGAATCCACTGATACCTTAACACATTCAGTCCTAGATGGCCCATTACTCAAACGGTATTTCTGAAATCTGTCTAACGACTGAAACTCGGCCCTTGAATAGAATGCACTGTATTACGAAGAATCTGACGTCAAAACTGTCGTAAAACTCAATTCATCCTCAAATAAATCCCAAGACTTGGATAGAGAAACCCTAATCCCTTGAGGAATTTCTGATGACGACTCAAACTCATGAATTGTCGCCAGACTGCTAGTTAATGACAATTTTGCCCTTCACCGCTTGAATTGCGCACAATGAGATTTTTCCTGCAAAACCAACATACTACACAAACCTGTTAGTGGTTAGTTAAAATGCAATGCGAATTAACCTAACAAAAACGGGGCAAAATTTGGGGTATTACTAAGAGCTTTAATGATTTTTTTTTTGAACAAAATCTTTTTAATTTTGAAAAACTAAAAAATTTTATTGGAGATGAATTTAAAAATTAAAAATATATTATTATTCTCTACAAAATCAGTCACATTTCATTATTTTAGGACTTTGAGATTTTAAGTGGTGAAGTGAGAGGAAAAGGAAGGATACCCTCTCAAACTTTTCTTTTTATTTAAATCGAATATCCAAATATTCTCCACAACTAGTGAGACTAACCTTCAGCAAAAATCTCTCAAATTTAAATAACTAAAAAAATTACTAGTAGCGTAAGGGTATATTTCAATAAAAATCAAATTTATATAGTGAATACATAAATCAAATTTATATAGTGTACAGATCCATTTAATTATGATATTTTATTTAAAATTTGTAACTCAAATCATTAGAGTATTTATAATTACAAAAATTCTTGATAGTTAGCTTTTTCTTGTGTTTATTATGTATCCTTCTTTTGTTTAAATTTCATGGATGTTTCCATACCTTAAGCTTGCTGATATGAGGAATGATGAGTCTAATGCCAAAAGGTTTCGAATTTCAACTATATCTGTTTTTCTGCAAGCTGTAAGAGCCCAATACCACATTCCCACTCAAACATTCAGTCTACTCCACTTGATCCTTCACACTTAAAAGTTGTGACCATTTTTATAAAGAAAAACAGCATTACAAATTAAATCATATTGGGTCTCTATTTGAAAATGGTGGTGTAATTGATTGAGACATCCATTAGTTTCATTTGAACAAAACCTGAAAGTTAGAATAAAGGTGAATTATGCTATCAATTATTGTTTTGGTAAAGCTTGTTTTTATGCCTTTACACAGGACAGGACAATCAATAATAAATAGCATATATGCCAATTAGTTATTCCTAAAAAAATTGTATACAGAAAGCATATCAAAATTCTGCACCTCCATCTTTCCAATATATTGCAAGTGAATGTGTACAAAAGTCTGTCTATACAGTTAAAAATTCAGAGGACTCAATGTTATTTTGAATGCATTTCTTCTCCATAGAAAGAAAAAAAAATAGACAGAGAAAAAGTATAGACAGATATAAATCAAAGTATAAAGTTAAAGTATTGCTAAGGGTAGCGATTACATAGATTGTAACCGGAGATAAGCGAGCTAATAGCAAACGCAAAAAAAGCAAGAAAGGCCATTGCAATAGAAGCACTTGCCATCTCTGTGAATTCATCTTTTCCCCAATTTGTTTGCCAGTCATCAACCCGCGTTGCTGCTGATGATGCTGATGATATCAGAAGATATGCCAGAACCTGCTCATCAACGAGAAGGTTGTTACTTAAAACCTTCGTGAATTGACTTATCTGAACTTATCCACTTTATAAACAATTCTAATTACAGTAGAGTAGAAAAATCAGTCAAGTAAGTGAATACTGGAGTGGATGATATCGTTGATGAAAAAACTGACTTGCCTGATCCATGAAGAAATCAAAATGAAAACGCAAGTGGTGATTGATTATGTGTTTTCCCTTTATAAGTTGATAGGCTAATTCACAAGCTTGATAACCCGCATATACAAAAGCTATAACTGTCATAGACAAACAATACCTACAACAACACCGTAATAGAAACACCATTAATTGATTTCAATACACAACAAGCAACATATTAATCACAGTAAAGTTATACAAACTGAATCAAGAACGAAGTTTCAATGAAACTCTATAACAAGAACACAATGAATAAAAATAGCAAATTTAGTAACCAATTTTATTTGTTTTAATTGGGGTTGAAAATTTTGAAAAATAATCAAATAATGAAAGAAACCTGTATTCTTTGTAGCGATCAAAGGAGTCACCGCTCCAGCCTTGAGTCTTATCCGCAGCCATAACGGAAAACGAAATTAGGCAAAGCACCACCTCGCTCAATCGGAACCCTAACGCTACTTTTCCCGTCATAACATCACTTTTCGACCATGCTGTTGACGTCGGCGTGTTTGTCCTCGGTCTGCCTCTTCCTCCACCGTCTTCACGGCCTCCTCCGGTGACGGTGTGGCCTAGATTCGTTGCGGTAGGAGGAGGATCATTCCTCAGGGCTCTATTAACCACCACTGCCGGGTGGTCATTCGACGGCGGGTTCCGGTGCTCGGAATCCGGTAAAGGTGCTGCGACTTGAGAGTATTGTAATGAAGGCTCTATGATTACGATGGCTCTGGAATTATCATTTTCCGGTGAGTTTTTGGTGGAGTGAAAAGGATCGCCGCCGTCGGATAACGGAGAAGATCGAAATCGGAGAGGAGAGTGAGGTGAATCAAAGTGAGAGGAGGAATCGGAGTTCTTCGACGATGTGTTCTTCATTGGGGTTTTCAGAGAAAAGCGCGTTAGTAGAATAAGTGATTTTGGGCTGGATTTAAGCAAATTTTAAAGGAATGAAGAAAAAGGAATAAAGAAGAAGAGTGTTTGGGTGGTGGAAAAGAGTGAGAAAAGTGAAAATGAAACTGCAGAGTATAGGAATTTTTGGGTTCGTGGTTTTCAGTGTAGGACCTTGACACGTGGGTTCGATTCTCTTGTTTAAGGTTCTCGTTCTTGTGATATTTAGGATTAGCCAATTAGATGTTGCCACGTATAATAACAGGAAAGATTCTGTGTGATGCCTTTTTGATCCTTGGAGTGCAAGGAGAAAAAGTGTGACTCTGCTTGACACTGAAAAATACTCCTAACATTAGATTTCTTTAATATTATAGATATCATAAATGTTCATTAATAATTGTTGTAGTTTTATATTTGTATTTTTTTTTTTTGTCTAATCATTTGCAAGTTTCCTCACACAAAAATCATTTGCAACAGTATTACTAAAATAACACCAGCAGATTTTAGTTAAAGTCTAATTGAGAGTATACAAGTTCAATGCCAGCTTGAAAGTATAAATAGGTAGACTTTAGTTACTTCTTACTCACTCTGTTATATCACTCTCTTATCTAAGAAGAAAAGGGTTAAGAGGAAAATGAAAATTTTATCAGACTTCAACCAAACGTCATTTTCAAAGAATTCTTCAATGTGTTACAGTGACATTCATTAACATAAAACAACTATGGTAAGCAACTTGCAAAAAGGATAAGCTTTATCTGTCTATCACAAGACAGTTCTCTCCACTAACAAAAGCAAAGATAGGTTTATACAGGAATCCACCTACAATGTCCATGAAAAAGCATCTTTCTCCTTAACTTATTTTGAGTACATTAATCATATAAATATTCTCTATTCTTTACTCTTTGAGCATAAGAAGCATATAACTTTTACTATTAATTGCTGTCTTTGCAAAGGAAAGAATGTAACAAAATGTTAAGAATCAATGAAATGGGTATAAAAAAGAATGAAGTTGATAGAGAAGAGTACGGACAAATAGATACAAAAGAAGAGTTCATGATAAAGCTCCTGTGTGTTGGTAAAACTATCTAACAAAATGTAACAAATATTTCTCATACAGGTTGTTAAAACTTATAATCTTCATGTCAAAAACAAATTAAACCTAGATTTGGAAAAGTCTCGTTATAGTCAAAACTGAACGGTTGATGAAAGCCCTTGACTACCAGGCTTGCTTTATGCTTGTTGGCAGTGCCATTTAAGTTTTCTTAAACCTTGAAGACCCGTTGCACCTAACAGACCCAACAGCTTGTCTATGACTAGCAAAGTTGTAAGTATCAAAATTTTGTTTTGAAGCAGGGTATTAAATTCTAGATGCATAGCTTCAAACCAGATAGGATTTTCTAAAGCATGTTTGACTGATGTAGGCTCGATGTGAGTTAAGTGTTAAGTATAATAAGTGTGAGTAGTATAGATAATAGTCTTACATTTGCTAGAAGTTTGAAGACTAAGTGGGAGAATCCATTCACTTATCACTTTAAGATTTTGAGTGAATATATGGTGTGTCTCTCACAAAGATCTTGCTCTAGAAAAGAAGTCTCATAATGTTCAAGTGGTATCATGAGCCTTTGGTTCGAGTGAAGAACCGACTCACTTGTATCGAAAGTACTCCACACAGGTGGTGGTTAAGAGGTGTCCCGTTGAAGAGTGTCAACGGTGGTATAAATGTATATGGATGAAAAGAGCTTTCACTTAAGGGGGAGCATTGTGGAAGTGTTGTGGATAGACTCACACTTAAGGGGGAGTGTTAAGTATAACAAGTGCGAGTAGTATGGATAATAGTCTCACATTAGCTAGAAAGGTGAAGACTAAGTGGGAGAACCCACTCACCTATCACCTTAAGGTTTTTGGTAAAGATGTGGTGTGTCTTTCACAAAGGTCTTACTCTAAAAAAAGAAGTCACACAGTGTTCAGGTGGTATCATGAGCCTTTGGCTCGAGTGAAGGATCGGCTCACTTGTATCGAACGTATTCCCACAAACGATGGGTTGAGTGTTCCGTTGAAGAGTGTCAACGGCGGTACAAGTGTATGTGGATGAAAAAGAGTTTCCGCTTAAGTCGAGCATTGTGGATAGACTCACACTTGAGGGAGGGTGTTAAGTATTACAAGTGTGAGTAATGTGGATAATAGTCTCACATTGGATAGGAATGTGGTGACTTGAGCATTTATAAGTGACAGAACCCACCCACCTATCACCTTAAGGTTTTGGGTGAATATGTGGTGTGTCTCTCACAAAAGTCTTACTCTAAAAAAGAAGTCTCACAATGTTCAATGCTCCCTAGTTGAAACAAAAACTCCCCCAACACTAAGAAGGTCTTAGGCTTAGAGAAGATGCCTATGGTGGTGAAGTGTTAAATGACAATATGCAAAATGATTTAAGCCTCACAAAAGCAAAGAAGATAAAAATAACATGATGTATATGATGAAAAATAGATAGCTTTTTTCATAAGTCATATTAGTTAGTTGTAACTGTCATAATAGAATTTTAAATTCAGCTATGATTGATCCAATGCATGCATATGTATAGTAGTCTTAGTGAAGCCTCATGCAAAATATAAAAAACATTGTAATCTTATTATGCAAGTTGAGTTGCACAAATATAGATTGCATCTTTTTCATTTCTCTTTCTTTCAAGCTTTAACCATGGAATTTTCATTCATTTAACATAGTATCATGAGCCTCTCGATCTGAGGTTGCATAGTTCCTGCAATCCATGGCTTCTGCTCATAATCAAGCTCCTGCAAATCCTCAACTGGATCATTCTAGTCCTTAATTCGTTCATCCTAATGACATACCATCATCAGTAAGTGTTTCGCCCAAACTCAATGGCGCGAATTACCATTCATGGGCTCATTCAATGCGTCGAGCACTTGGAAGTAAGCTGAAACTTGAGTTCATTTATGGCACGATTCATCCAATCACTGATAGTTTTGATCATTTATATCGTGCATGGAAGTGGTGCGATATGTTTTCACGCTCATGGACTATCAATTTTGTATGCAAGTTAATTGCTCAGTTCATCATCTTCAAGAAAAATGCAATTGATGTTTGGATTGATCTCAAGGAGCGCTTCTTCCAATGTGATTTGGTGCACATCTCTGAGTTGATGCAAGAAATCTATAACATGCAGCAAGATTCAAGGTCAGTAATATATTTTTACTCAGACTAAAAGATTCTATGGGAAGAAATTGAGATTTACATTTTCATCCTTACATGTACGTGTCGTGTTAAGTGTTCATGTCAAGCTATGTGCACTGCTATGAAAAATCACACCATTTTGAATGCCATTCGATTATTGACTGGCCTAAATCAAAATTTTGATGTTGTAAAATTTCAAATCATGTTAACGGATCGTCTTCCTTCTATGAACAAAATATTTTTCATGGTGCTTCAACATGAAAGACAGGGAAATTTTACCATCTCAGAAGATTCTACTTCACTTGTGAATTTTATTGATTCACAAAGGTTTAAAGGAAAATCATATGGATCTAACTCTTTTAGCAAAGGTATCGATCGATTGCGTATTCATTGTGGCAAAATAAACCACGCAGTTGATCATTGTTATGCCAAACACGGATTTCCTCCTCACATGCAGAAGAAATTTTCTAATCACTTTTCTACAGATGATCAAGAGATGAAAGCATATTCACAAATCATTGATTTGAAGACAAGTCGTCCATCAATTACTTTTGAGTAATATGAACAACTTATGCATTTACTGCAATAGTTCACTATAAACCAAAAACCATCTATTTCCCCTAATCAAGTTCATTCATTTACATCAGTTGGGTCTAAGTACATGTGGAAAACAAATATTTCCTTAAGAAAGATTCTAAATCATAAATTTTTTAGATATTATCTTAGATCAAAAGTTTTGCTTACCAAAAACCTTGATTAAGATAGTTTCTGACAATTATCAAATTCAGATTCTCTACTTGGAATCAAGCATAAACCATTACGTTCAGAAAACTTTTTCAACTACATAACTCTTGAGAGAATTATTAGATGAATCAGTTCAGTGAAGAACAAAATATATAATTCTTTTTTGAACAATAATAATAGAGCTTTCTTCAAAAGTAAAAAAGAATTCTCTATTTCAACATGACATAGGTATTGTCACAAAAGATGAGAATATCCACTACACCAGTTCAGAAGTTTCTTAAGTTACTTTCTTCCAAGATATCTAAGCATGAAGATTACTTATGCTGAAACATCTGGTACAGAAAGTTACACTTGAAATCACGAATAATAAAACTTACCTGGATGACGTTTCTGATTCTGGATCTGCAGTCTGTTTTTAAGTATTTCTGACTTATTCACGAGTCAGCATCTTGAGCTATCCACTTCCCATTGAGAAGAAGGCAATTTGATTTCAATATATTCCTTCATCTTGTATCCACCATTATTTTCATACTAAAATGAAAATATACTTTCCTCACAAGATCTTTGTATGCACCACTGTAAAGTGTTATGCACAGACCAGGGCTCTGATGCCAATTGAAGGTGAGTAAAATACACAAGAATGAGGTTGAATTGTGTTTACCAAAATAAAGAAACATTTATGCTTCTAAATAGAGTTCTGACTCTAAATGTTTGTTCAGAATTTGATCATACATGCAGCGGAACAATATATCAAAAGTAGAATAAACTGAATACAAAACACAATAGATTTATCATGGTTCCTCTTCTAACTGAGAGTACTCCAGTCCCCTTACCTTGTAAGATATTTTCCACTATAATCAATCAAATTATTACACCTGCTTATGCAGTCAAGCATAATACTTTCACTGCTCAAACCTACAGTCTAAGACTTTTTTACTTAATCAGCACCTGATCCAAACTTCCTGCTTAGATCCTCAGATCCTAAGACTTTCCTTGCTCAAACCACTTGATTCAAGACTTTCTTGTTTAGACACACTGCCTAAGACTTTCCT